GGAATGGAGGTCTATAGTGGTGTAAAACCTGCAGACTGTATGCCACCAATAGACGGAATGGAGGTCTATAGTGGTGTAAAACCTGCAGACTGTATACCACCAAAAGACGGAATGGAGGTCTATAGTGGTGTAAAACATGCAGACTGTATACCACCAACAGACGGAATGGAGGTCTATAGTGGTGTAAAACATGCAGACTGTATACCACCAATAGACGGAATGGAGTTCTATAGTGGTGTAAAACCTGCAGACTGTATACCACCAATAGACGGAATGGAGGTCTATAGTGGTGTAAAACCTGCAGACTGTATACCACCAATAGACGGAATGGAGGTCTATAGTGGTGTAAAACCTGCAGACTGTATGCCACCAATAGACGGAATGGAGGTCTATAGTGGTGTAAAATAGTGATAACCTTTGATATTTGTAATTTACAGGATATTAATCGTATTTATCTTGTCAATATATCGTTGGTACATGTATTTTACTTTTTCATAATTTGATATTATGAATTACAATAACTAAAAATTAATGTCCATGTATATGATTATGTAGAACACCTCTATTGTCCAAGCTTCAATTTTAAATTCTTTAAACTCTTAACTTTAAATAAAACGAAAGAAAATATGGAAATGCTTAAATCACAGCGAAACAGACTGACAATCTAAAGCAGAATGGCTCCAACCATGATGTGAAAAAACTTTGCATAATGTACAATATTAAAACACTTATTATGTAATTACAAATAACGAACCAGTCATATGCGTGTTAATCACAAACATGGAAAATTAAAATGCGAGAAATATGAATCAAAACAAAAAGAAAACCTTCTCTGAAAAAGTAGTTTTTTTTTAAAATAAACTAGTACCTTAATTTTGTTGCTATTTACTGGACACAAGACGAACGACAAGCAGTATGAAATAGCTGTATTTTACGGGTCCTGACAGGACGCTGTTTTATAGAGTTTTATATCATTGTTCCTAATGGATTACGTAAGCATCGAGTTGCATAATTACTGTCATGAGGAAACGGTTTACAACAGATATCATCAAAAATAACAATTTCTATTTGACGTAGGCTCAAATTGATGCATTTTTTTTTCTTTATGCATCTAGTTTTCAATAACGTTTTAATAATTTGTTAGACCTTAGGGTAACAGAGGTAGACAATAGTCAGCTTCCCTGACTTCATCCGTCTGTTAGAAAGTCCCTTGCTGACTGGGATCCATTTGAGTGTTCGGATGTATATATAAACTACGGTCATGTTTTTCGTCAAAATGGGGACTTAAATTCAATGTCACAAGATAGACCTTTTTGACGATCCGAAGGGATTCATGAGTGATCTGATGCAAAGCAAAGTGTCTGACCCAACTTATTACCAAAACAGCATTTGGCAGTGTTAGCCAAAATATTTCATTTATCCTATGCCTACACTCTTTTCAAAACCTTTGCAATTCATTTGTCTTTAACTTCTAATAGTTCCCACGTATTTGTCATGGCACCAAACCGCAGTTTAACAATCAATCGATAATGTTTGTTATCCTAAACCAAGGACTATATTCAAATAGGATGTATATACCAATGATGAAGTAATTGTATACCGATACAATACAGCAACACAGTTCTATCTACTCAATAGCTTAACTTACCAGTGTCTTTAATATAAGACTCCAGAATAGACCACACTAAATAAAACCGACACAAATACATAATTAAAAGTTATTGGTGTTGAAAAAAATTAGCTAATGAGACAGATTCCTCCTGAATTGAACAAGGAAACACCGTTGGATAAAAACCGCAATTTTTATACGTGTGCATGCAAAACAAATTTCTTTGTAGAGGGGTCAAAATACAGCACAAACAACATTTTCCAAAAGACCAAAAAAGTGAAAAAGTATATCTTAACAAAACGCATTTGACTAGCAGGTCGAACCACGGATGTTCCTAAACCCTGCTGACTGCCATTGACGATTGCCAAATAAACGGATCACCAGATGTAACAAAATGGATCTTATTTATTAATTTAATACCAAACAGAAAACAATAAACTTGCGGAAAAGATGGTATACCGCTAACAAAAGGGGCAAAAATTAGTACACCATATCCGGATTTCGCCAATTAATGTCTCTTCAGTGATGTTAGGAATCGAAACGGTATTTGGAAGGCCATATAATATATATATATATATTATATATAAATCGTATAAAAGATCTTATCAAAGTATCGTTTATCCAAATGTTCCCAGCAACGACACACGATTACATCTTTTTAACTAAGTCACTAATTATTCAGCGCAAATAATTATATGAATAATACCGTCTTATCGCCTCGGAAAACCCAAGTCTTGTCCGGTAGAGGATATCGGTGAGTTGCTCTCTAATTAATCCTAATCTCCATTTAAGCTTGAATTGTCAACGGTACTCCCTTGATTTTCAAAAGTTAAGTGTCAAATTTCAATATCATCAACATAAGCAACAAAGGTTAAAGAAAAAGGTGTTTAAGACCGGTAATTGCTATATCAATTAATCCCATTATTTATAACTTATCTATTCAAGACTGCAAACATTTCAAAGACAAATCTTGGGCTAAAAAAAGAAAGAAATGCACTTTGTTTTTTGATAAATTAAAAAAAAAAACATTTGAGAAAACCAGCGTAATTGTTTGATGTGTAGATTTGGGTGTTACTGTTGAGCCTTGGGTTGAGGAAACTCTCGTCTGGCGTAGTAAATTAAAACCCTGGGGCTATATCACTAAAAGTATTCAAAGATACAACTTGAGACATGATTTAGGATTGCCTTAGCTTTTGCGGAGACATGTCCTAGGGAGAAAAACAAAGCTTTATCAGAAATGTCATCTGTAAGATTGTCCTTAAATAATCTTTATTCTTTCTTGTGTGCCAACGAATTAATATAGAGAGAGAAGTATACAAAATCTATTTATACTATTTTTCTTTACATCTAAAAAGGAGGTGTTGTATTAATTCTATTCTTACGTAAAGAAAAGCAAAGGAAATCTATTATATGTTTTGGACTTTAACATTTGCCCTTATAATTTTTTTCAAGCAAAGGTTCAATGCTAAAATCAATATTCTAAAGTCTCGGAAAATGCTACTAATGTTACCTATGGAAACTAAAACAATTGTATTTTGCAATCTTTATTCATACACAGTGGCAAAATTTGCTTGTTACTTTGTATTTTGACTTAGGTTATCTTAAGTTTTAGGTCGGTCCTAATACCATCTTTAGATACATATGCAGCTATCCTAACTTTATGACAAACTTTAGGACATATCGTATCTTTGGAGGCTTTCGTTTATAAAAAAGAAAACAAAAATTTATAAAATACCTGACTTAACGTGGATATACCATTCTAAGACATGTTCTTATCATCAGAAAACTTTGTTGACATGACCGTTGGTATCTTTTATGAATTTTTATAGGTCTTGTGAAGAACAATTAAACATATCTCCTCATAACCTATTTGAAACAAAGACGATCAACGTGGAAATTAAACTTGAACTCAAAAGCCACAACATTATAAGTGTTAATTTAGAAAAGTAACTCTTTCTAACATGATCATGTCAACTTGCAATCAATTCGAAAATGTCTTTATGGCTTTCAATTACATGTATTAATAAATGCACCATGTTAAACGATTTAGTGTAAGTTGAACATATATATATATATATATATTTATATATATATATATATATTGCAACTTCATTTGAACAGTACTTCAACTACTAGTAATAGTTCCAAAATATGAATAAAAAGATGTTACTATCACAAAAATAAATATTCCTTTTATTTGTCTATATACGATCTTGTACGGTCAATCCATTCATCTCATTAGTCCGTTCGGTTAACGTTATGTCAACTGAATGCACGCTGACTATCGGAAACATACATGGTTAAATATTATGACCTTTTCTCCCACTAACTAAGTAGACTTTTTGTCTCCAACACTATCAAATCAATGGATAGTTTATATAGTACGTTTTCATTCAAGGCTATTCATACTATACTGACATGGCCTATTCAATAGTTCTATGAACAAACTTTTAACATTGATAGCATTTCTTTGTACGAAGCATTACATAAAATGGTAAATTTAAAAATCACTAACATTGTTTTACATTGTGAAAAGCTTTCAAAGTACTCAATATATGCTTAGAAGTTAGCTTGCGTCATTTTAGAAAAAAACTCAATAATTAAGGCTGTTCATAATTGATGTTAAGCGAAATTTACCATGTAACATCTTTTAAAGAAGTGGTTATATTATAAAAATTATAATTCTATTAAATTAGTTTTTCTATAAAAGAACATACGTCGAATGTTTAATCTCTTGTTAGAACTCAAACAAATATGAATACTTCTGAATAGGTTTTCTACAACAAAAACTGAATTGATAGGATTTTTAAATCTATTTTAAGATTTTGAATGTATTTGTATTTCGTGAAGTATGTTTACTTTCAAGTATTTTTTTACATTAACTGTCGATCGATCATGGCAGTACCTTTTATTCAATGCTTACGTTTGTTCATTTTTTTATGAAAAAGTGTCATAATAAAAAGTTCAATAAATGTTTATTTCAGTTGTTAGAGGTGTCACATTATTTCTATTTAACTACTTACCGGAATTCTTCTGAAAGAGAAGAAATCATCAGAAAAATACTTAATTTCAAGGTATCAAAGGTAAATGTGTTAAAAATAATTAAGAATATTAAAACAAGTGTTAAAAAATGGCCCTCATTTTTTTTCTTACACTAAAAGCAAATGCCATATACGTTTATCAGTGAACAAACCTATTTCATATCATTCAATTTTTGTCCCAAACAATGTAATCGTCAAATTTTAATTATTTTATAATAATTCAAAAGCCGTTGCAAAATGGTACGTTACACGTAAATGGTTGCTCTGACGAAATGCAATATGTACATTTGACATTCTTTGAAACACATTTATTATTGTGATAGATATATTAAAGTATCAAAAATACATACCTAAAATTAAATATAAAGAAATCCATTCATAGAAGAAAAATAATAATTCCATCAGTATTAGAACAACACATGTTCTGACAAATCAATGAACGACTACTATTCCGTCAATGTTTGTATATTGTCCGAAATATAAATATTTGTAGGAGCAGTACACATTTATTCCTTAGTCTTACCATAGCGGATTGGAAGATTTCATTAATACATGGTGTATAATAACAGTCACTGAAAATAATATTCACTTCGCCAATACGTTCCTTTTATAGACATGCACTGCTTTGGTAACTTCTGCACGACAAACAATCAAACAAAGTTAAACTGTACAAAATATTTCTTAAAATGATAGGTCAGATGGTTCTACATAATCTGCTACGATAATGATTTACTTTAAATCCATTTTTCTTACTTCAAACGATTGGTGTTTTTTAAATTATTTACACAACGGTACCTCTAGCAGCCAATAAAACTATTAATGCTTTATTGCATCCATTAGGGACATTGAAATACAGCAGCGTCAATGAAAGTCAAACTTCTAATATATCAACACGCTTTCATTGCCTTTAATGAGTGTTCAACCTTTAGCCCAAACCTATCAAATGACTATGTTTAACAAATACATTTACAGATAATTTTCAGATCGACAGTCAGAAAGCAAATGTTAAATATAATGATTTAACAATTCACATCCCTGGAGCATACCATTTATCAAATATATCGATATTTCAAAAGTCAGTTAGATTGCAACTAATAATTTTTCACAGGAAATGTACAATTATCCTTAATGAACGACTGATTTCTTGTAAAAAGCAACCAATTGTTAAAATAATATGTTTTACTTAAAACTCTCTATGTGAATTAATCACATTAGCAACAGATGAAAGAAATTCAACGCCTTCATATAATTCTCTACTTTGTTGGAGTGTTTGTAGAAACTACAGAGTGTATTCCAATCGGATTATATATTTCAATTTGTTTCCCTCTAATATTATAGGCTCACACAAAATACAGATGTTTAAAAACGTTATTGATGATAAACTATTCAAATCTGCATTCATTTTAAATCATGAATATAATATATACTAGAATATAATTACCATAATTTGTCAATGCATGTAGTTAGTTAGTAAAATGTTCTGATCAAAAGAAAAGATAGTCAAGTTAAATAAATCTATAATATAAATGTACGACCTTTGACGACTGATTTGGCCTAAAGTTTATTTATACTAGTTTTGTTGGTTTTACAAAGCCAAGAAATTAATGTGGCTTTTTTGCACGTTCATTCAGAATAGCATCTCTAACACAATTCAGAAAAAAAGTTATTCAATTGAATTCATTTCACTTTTCACCCGTGTATTTATCCTTTGCTGTCATATTCACTCTTTTTAGTCCGTAGATCCGCCAGACATCTTGACTTTAAGTTCACGTATTGAACTAGTGAAGCACTCTACCTGTATGTGTGTCTGTATGATGCTTTGTTGCACATATTTTAAAGTTGAATGACTCTTCTTATAGGCTGGATACATATGTATAGCTTATTCCGCATGATCAATGATATTTCAGTATAGTTTTAGTGATGAATATATAAAAAGTGGTACATTATTTAATTTGTCACAAGTATTATGTTTACTCATATGACAATAAGGAGTTATTATTAAATATTAAAACTTCTACAGTAACAAAAAAACATAACAAAAATACCGAAATCCAAGGCAAATTCAAAAAGGGGAAGTCCATTAAAACTGACAAAAACAAACATGCATATTCTAAAGAATATGGTGATTTAAACCTGGGTTTATAGCTAGCTAAACCTCCTACTTGTATAACAGTTATTTGTTGTTCCGTTATGTTTAAGTAAATTAAATACTCTATTGCAAAACGTAAAACTTTGATGGGTGTAAATGCAAACATCATACGGTGTTCATATATCCCAACTCGTTCGTTATGCCCGTGTGTGTAGTGATGTCATAGATTTTAACAAACGTAATCAATGCATCACTGGTAAATTATTAAGTCAGGGATTTCGTTACCATAAATTACTTAAAGCATTTACTAAATTCTTTCATAGATACAAAGATTTGATTAGTAAATTAAGCTGTACCTGTAGAAAACTTATTAAAAACGGTATTTCACATCCTAAATTTTACGGTAATATTGCACTAAAAGTGCGGAAATCACTATGTGATCCGTGTAAACTCATCGAACCTTTAACCAAACTTATTAGTAAAGGTTATCGTAATAATGTTGTAATAAGATCTTTGAATATTGTTTACATTGGTACTAACATCTATTTTGTCATCAACAAATTAAAACATAAATAAATTAGGAATGGTTTTTGGGATGTATAAATACACATCCACGTTAATTTTCTATTTAGAGGTTGCTTTATCTATATATAACATGATGCATATTTATTATAAGATTAAATCCTAACAATCTGACTGCCTGTCGAGACCTTTATTTTGTCATTGCACAAGTCTTGTCGTCTTTGACTGTCCATGGCGTTAATACACTAAATCCCTGGGATGTGTTTTAATTGATTTTAGTCTCTGAAGCATGATTTTTTTATGGTTTAATGTTTTTGGCTTTTAACTAGCTTTCAGTAACTGCGAGTACCCTCAAATAGTACTTTCGTGTTAATTTGACCCGTTGACACAATTTATAATGCATTTCTGTAATTCAATGTTTACTTATTTTGTGTTATATCTCGTATCACTATTTTTATTATGTACCATCTTTGGTAAGTTTTTAGTATGACGGGAAATTTTCACTTCTGTACTCGTACTCTGCACAAATTTATTAATTTTGTACAAAAATGTTTACTTCCGTACTCCTAAGAACAAAATTATTATATTTAAATTACCTGTGTACGTTGTTTTATTAAACACCATTTTGTCCCAGGTTAGCGTTGTCTTTTTGACACTCTTGCTATATCTTTTTTATTACTTCCTGTAACGTCTATGTTATATAGGCACCTACGTTTTCATATTGTATTTATAGTGTGTCATAGGTCAAACTTATTCGTTCAGTGTAGTTTTACTTGTTTTTGTTTAAATGTCTTTTTTATCGAGTTAAGTGTCTTTTTATGTTGTAATGTTACACTACTGTCTCAGGTTAGGGTGAAGGTTGGCGCCTATTAAAACGTTTAAACCCGCTACATTTTTATGCACCTGTCCTAAGTCAGGAGCCTGTTGTTCAGTGGTTGTCGTTTGTTGGTATGGTTCATAGATGTTTCTCGTTTCTCGTTTTTTATATATTTATTGTTAACTTTTATACATTGTATGGATGGAGAGTTGTCTCATTGGCACTCATACCACATCTTCTTATTTATAATTACATGTACACAAAAAACATACAACACATGAAAAATGTTCTAAACAAGTCAAGTTAATATTGATAATACATGTATATATAAATATACAGATAATTGACCAATGTGGACCTCATTTTCGCATCTCCATGGATTGGTTTATACATCCCGCAACATTAGACAAAATATCATTATTGGGATCTAAAATAGTTTAAAGTTTAGAGTTTGAGTCAAGCTGGTTACTACTATGATAATGGGTTTAGACTGCATTAATAAGGGTATTTCTAATATTACTGCTGATTTGGTAGCGAAGGAAAAAGTGTTCCTCATCGTCTAAAATTTTACAAACTTTACGCACTCGATGTTCTCTTGGAATTTTGTTATATCGACCTATTTCAATTTCCAAGTTATGACACTTATATGGAATATTGTTAAAAGTTGACTACTATTTAAATTATTAGATTGTGCAATTAGTGTTACATTTGAATTAATTTTTAAGTTTAATATAAAGGAAAAGTTTAAATCTGTTATCTATATTAGAAAGTTTGTCAAGAGTGATTTTATCATACTTTTCTTTAACAATATAATAAATAGTTTATTTAAGCGATTTTTGTATAAGTTCAAAAGGTTTATCAAAATTATCAAAACAGTTCTTCTTCAATATTAAATTATGTAACAATGTGCTTTGCAAAATTATACAAGTATATATTCCATCTTCAGACATAGTCTTATTTACTCTGAAAGCTTCTTGAACAAGAGGATTTATTTCCTGACAGTTAATTCTACAAGATTTTTTATAAATGAGTCAAGTGGGAACCGTCCCAACTTAGACTTTGCAGCTATATTACATGAGGTTTATTTAATTCCAAGAACAGTTTTACAAATTTATGATGCACTTTTCTCAAAGCTGAATCTATCTGTCAAGGATAAAATATCACAGTTAGCTCCATGCATTTTGGCTCTGTTTGTGGCTCTAAAAATGGAGTAAATAGATATTCTTCCATAAACCAAATTTCACTATTGTATAAAATTATGGGTTTATTTAATGAATTAAATAATTTACATGATAAATCAACAGGGACATGATGAAAATTAGATATATTTTTAATGAACATAACACTTTAGAGCTTTCTTGGATAGTTTCTGTGTTGATCTCTTAAATATACCTTTATTATCAATAATCCCAAGAAAATTATACTCTTTAACTTCAGTTAAATGATTTTGTTTATAGAAAAAAATTGACTTAAACGAATGCCTAGAATTAAAAATCATAATTTTAGTTTCATTAATATTAACAGTCAATTATAAATTTATAAATATTAACGTAAAATGTAGTTGGTGTAACATGTTCGTAGAAAAATTTCCGTTTTGATGATGTAAAATAATAATAGGGTCACCGATTTCATTTTAACGGTATACATTATTCAAAGTGGTGTACTAGGTAAAAAAAAACTTCGAAATAATCGTAACGTCATCTCGTTGTTGGCCGTAAAACGTCGATTTTTGAACAGCGGTATATACTACTGTTCCCTTTATTTGACGTTTTTTACTCCAACATGGTAACATATTGGCTAATACACCAAAAATGAAGTCGCTAATATTTGATATCATTAAAACGGAAATTTATATATCAACATATAGTTTTTTAAGAAAAATCTATGTATTTGAAATTGAAGATTTGATGATTTTAAAACAAATTTATGGACTTTTTTGCCGATATATGTGCTTTCTTTACAAATGATCACCTATTATGAAAGAATTTAATCAGCAATATTTCAGAAAAATAAAAGAGATAAAGGCATTATTTTTTCAAGATATAATTCAACGAGCAAACATTGCATGCAAACTTTTACCCAAAATCTGTGACATAGCCCATTTACTGTTCCTTGACCTTAAAAGAGTAATTCAGTGTTCATGTATTATTGTATCCACATAATGATGCATCGATGTCATTCAGTTTTATTTTTAGTTTTTCTCAAAAGTGAATAACAAGATATATATTTCCAAATGATTGTTCGTGTTTCATTCGAAATTTCCTTTAACCTAGTTTGAATTTAAAGATATATGATTGAAGCCACAAGCGGTAACAATTAATTTCGTTTTGAAATATGGCACAAAAAGGAAAAAGTTATGTAGATCACATATCGAATGATTCAATTAATATACATGAAGATTTTATATAAAACTTTGATGATTTTCACTTCTATTGGATTGGAATTGTCAGTTACCGTCTAGTATTAATGATTCGTGTTTGTTTTGTTTTGTTTGTTT